CTTCCCTTTGGAAAGGCCAACCTCATTGGGGGCTGTGGATGATGGGGCTTCTATTTGCACTGGCCGCCCTCACTGGGGCGATGGTGGTGGTGCATGATGGGCCTTGTGTTCCGAAGACCCCCGACTTCTGCCCTCTTCCTCCCCGCAGAAGAGCACCCAGACCCTCCCCATCCCCACGGCCGAAAGGGTGGCCCAGACCCGCCACAGCCACGAGGTGGGCGTCCAGGCGGACCCTGAGGCCAGCCCGGCCCAGGCCCTGCCCCTCCCGCCGCCCCCGCTGGTGGACTACGCTGGCCTGTGGGCCTTCCTGCAGCGGGTGGAGGAGCCGGTCATCCGTGAGCTGGACAAGAACTGGAAGAGCCACGCCTTTGACGGCTTCGAGGTCAACTGGGCAGACCCCAATGAGACGGTATAACGGGGGTTTGCGGGGGGGGGATCCCCTCCCAGCCCCGAGGTTGTCCTCGACTTACATCAGTTCCCTTAGTGGCCGTTCGAGCGGCGCACTGGAAAAAAAAGTGGCCTAGGACCAATTTTCACTCTTTACAACCGTCGCAATATCCCCCCCCGTGGTCAGAGGACTTTACATTCAGAGGCTTAGCTGATCCGCTTTTATGATGGTCGCAGCGTCCCTCCCCCCACCCCGGGGCTCACGCGGTCCCCTTTTGCGACCTTTTGACAGGCACAGTCAACGGGGAAGCCAGATTCACTTAACAGCCGGGTTGCTAATTGAACAGCGGCAGGGATTCGCTTAACGAACGTCAAATGGGGCAAAGTGCCCTGAGCCAATTTCTCACTTAGCAACGTCCATTTTGGGGTCAACTGTGGTCGCAAGTCGAGGACCCCCTGCCATGTCCAGAAGTGACGCTCCCCTGATTAATTAGTAATTAATTATTGATTAAATTAAAATTATTCCCTGAGCATGAGAGAGGGCGCAAGCCCCAACAAAAGCTTGCGAGATGCTGTCATTGCCCCCCAGCCCAGGTGGGACGGAGGTCCCAGCCTCTCTTAACCACCTGCAGGGGCTTCATCCCCCTCTGCCCCCCATCCTCTCCCCTTCCTTGCAGGTGTCTTGTGCACACAGCCTGTCCTACCCGGAAGCCCAGGAGCGCAACCTGCAGGTGACCAGCATCTCCTGGAATGCCACAGGGGCCGTCCTCGCCTGCTCCTACGGCAGGTGAGCCGAAAGAGACAGGCAGGCATCCCCTCGCAATTTGGGTGCATGTTCCTCTTTCGGTTCTTCCTCTAATGGCTCTGCCCTCCCTTCCTCCCTTCCCTCTCTCTCCTTTCTTCCTTTCCTCCCTCCCTTCCCATTTTCCCCTTCCTTTCTTTCCTTCTCATTTTCCCTCTCCTTCTTCCCTTCCTTTCCTCCCTTCCACCCTCCCACCTACTTATTTTCTTTTCTTTTCTCCTTCCTTTCCTCCCTCCCTTCTTCCCATCTTTCCTTCCCTCTTTTCCTTCCTTTTTTCCTTCTTCCCTTCCTTTCCTCCCTCCCTTTCCTCCTTTCCACCTTCCCATCTACTTATTTTTTTCTTTTTCTTTTTCCCTTCCTTTCCTCCCTCCCTTTCCTCCCACCTACTTATTCTTTTTTTTCTTTTTCCCTTCCTTTCCTCCCTCCCTGTCCTCCCTCCCACCTTCCCACCTAATTTTTTCTTTCTTTTTCTTTTTCTTTTTCCCTTCTTTTCCTCCCTCCCTTCTTCCCATCTTTCCTTCCTTCTCTTTTTCCTTTCCTCCCCCCTCCTTCCTTCCTTCCTTTCTTCCTTCCTTCCTCTTTCTCTCTCTCTCTCTTCTTTCTTTCTTTCTTTCTTTCTTTCTTTCTTTCTTTCTTTCTTTCTTTCTTTCTTTCTTTCTTTCTT